GCAGGGAGCCCGATGCGGGACTCGATCCAGGGACTCCAGGATCATGACCTGAGCCGAAGGCAGTCGCTTAACCAACTGAGCCACCCAGGCGCCCTTCAGGGAGAATTTCTTGTGCACTGTCACCAAGAGTGGGTGACGTCCAAGTCACAAGAACACAGACACAATGACCCCTAATGCAGCCTGTCACTTCTAGCAAGCCAATCACCATCCCTGTAACCAAACCCTGGGCCTGGGGACAGACATAGTTTTTATTGACTTCCTTCTTGGCTTCACATCACATTACTTTTAGGACCCACTCTAGGCTAAATTTTCTTCGTTTTGACGTATATCCATCAGCAATTTTTTTCCAGCAGGATTTTGTGAAAAGTAAATTCTCTCCATTTACTTCCTGAAAACATCTTTACTTCACTCAAACTTTTGAATGATAGTTTAGCTGGATACAGAATTCTAGTTGACAGATATCTTCCTCCAGTACGTTGGAGATGATGCCTTCTTTGTGCTCTTCATTGCTGTTGACAAATCTGTGGAAGGATTACTGTCCTCCCATTAATCTTTACTTTTCTGTGGTTCACTATGATGTGTCTAGCTGTGGGTTTAGTTTTCCTACATTTCCCATGATCACTTGGGAGTTCTGAAGCTCAGGATTCACATCTTCAACCACTGCTAGAAGTTCTCTGTGTTATTTCCTTCATAATTTTATCTTCTCATTCTCTCCGGTCTCTCCTAGAAGCCCTTTTGGACACACATGTGGCCTACTGCTTCTCTTCTCTACATCTGTCCTTCTCTCTTGTTGTTTTTTTTTTTTTTAATCTCTGTTTCACTCTGAGTAATTTCCTCAAATCTATCTTCCAATTCAGTGATTTCTGTCTTCAGCCATGTCTAATTTGCTATTTATCATGTGTTTCCCATTCATGAAGCTTCATTTGCTTCTTTGAATCTCCCTTTTTTCTTCTTACTATTTTACTTCTTTCTTACATTTTCAAATCTCTCGTATTACTCACTCTAAGTATGCTGTTTCATCATCTGAGGTCTCTGGGTGGGCTAATCCTGATCTTTTCTGTGACTTCCAACTCCCTTCTATATAGGATTGTTCCTCTGGTGCTTAGACGTGTTTTACTGTGAGTGAATCTAGCATGGCTTCCTCAGGCAGTGGTATTAAGGGTGGCTTTGGTGGTGGGGTAACCTTCCTGATACTCACTGTTGCCAGGCACTCCAGGAGTACCACTGGCCTGGAGCCCCACTGGTAGGTTAACTTCTCAGTCTGGAGTCCCTAGTATTATAAATTGAAATCTCAATCCCAAGTGAGAAATAGGTTTCCATTTCTTAGGGGAACTTTTCCCACCTGAGCCAAGGCAGACATACAAGTGCCCTGTGACCTTCCTTAGCTGCAGGAGATTGTTCTTCTGGCCCATCTTTTCTTTAATGATGTGTTTTATAAGGTTTTCATCTCTGTATGTTGGTCTCCATTCCACTTCCTATTTGTTCCCATGCCTATTTGCAAGCTGGTAGTGTAAGTCAGACCCAAGTCCCTGGGACCCAAAGCCCCCCACAACAGCATCTGTGCACCAACTCATCATCCACTGCTTTCGTTTCTCAGTGCCTCCTCTTTTCTAGCACCTGGAAATGTCCTTTTTTCTCCTTGCCAGTCCAGAAATTAACTTAACCTGACTTTGTTACATCCTGCCCCACATTTTCAGATGTCCACAGTGGGAGAGTTTTCACACTATAGAAGTCAATGGTACTGCTGGAAAACCAAAATCCAAATGGGGTGCTTTTAACTCCACCTTTCCAATTTCATCTAC